TATAGAACCCGTAAAAGAAGTTTCAGTTAAATCTTAAATGTGTCGGTCGATTTTTGTCCCAATCTGTTTGGTTTGTAAAAGAACGTCCCATATTTAACTACATAAATAAAGGTTTATTGAGATCACAAGATCTTCTGTTTAGATACTGAGAGAGACTCTACAAGAGTGTGCATGTGTGACAACGGTCATCTTTTATCTGACCCAACTGAATTACTGTATATACTAAAAATCACACCCATATTATCTCACACGCACACTGCCCATGCCGCATAATAGATGTTATTACTTATACATCTAATAATAATTCACTTTTATGTTAACAGTAGGCTAGAAACTAAGAAGTACATAAACATAATAGCAATCTTTAGCTCTATAAGTTCCCCATAAATTAACTCAAAATAGATGACATATTTTTTTAAGGAATAGGTATTACTTTAATTTTATCATGACACACCCTTCTGATAGTAATTGGTGTTCCTATACTGTAGTCTGAAAACCCTACACGGTCCGACAAACTCTTTCTTACGTCATCATTAATAAAAAAAGCTTTGTGTAAGACATGTAAATATTTGAAACTAACAAAATGTAGGATTATAAAATTTTTCTTTCCCATTACCACAACTTAAGTACCAGAGTAACAGGGTGCTGAAGCTTATTCTCTCTGATATTTATAACTACAACGAATGAATATTATTCTACCTATTTGACTAACTAGCAAATTTAAGTAATTACTGTCAATGCTATAATAGAAAGCTAATATCTCACTTTATAGATTTTTTTTGGGTCAACTTTGATGCTGCTGTTCCAATCTCAATAAATGCGTCAGTTTTCCCATGCCTCAAATTGTAAATATTTATAGTATTTAAAGTTTTCTTTTTAATTTGCTCTTTTGCAACGGTAGACATGGTTATAACTTTTGTGAGCCCTAAAAGCTGTTTTTTGTCAACTTTGTTAAGTTGTAGTATATTTTTTGGCAAGGAAGTTCAACGTTGGATAGCCCTAAAGAATACAGGTGGGCTAAGCTTTTTCTGGACTGAAGACGGACTAGAGACGTCTTGGTATTCTTCTCTGGCCTGTTGTTATTTCACCAAACTGATCGAAAGGACAATTACAAAGTCCAAGGCGTTGGAGCTAGTTAGATGGATTTTTGCCAATGTCTCCTGGTGTTTCTCCAGAGACTTTAATGTCCAAAGTACCTATTTTTCTTGCAAAGCTCTATCATTTTAGTAATCTAAGGTAAAGAGATTTGTTCATAATGCTTGCTTGTCATCCCGTTTTCTCAAGTTTATTTTTTCTTAATAGCTTCACTGTTCGATTTATACAATGCAGACCTCGGAGATGATTAATTATTTCGACTTAAATCCTTAGAGCGGAGAGGATAATATAGTTGCCAGTGGCCAGGGATTCCAGCCTCCGGACGAACAACTTAGACAGTGACTTCTAACAGTGAATGATTGACTTTGTTCAATAGTGCCCCGCTTTATATAGTCTTTTAGCTGATAAGTCGTTCTCAAAAATAGTAGTAAAAATGTATTTGTTAACACGGTAGTTTCTGAATGGATGTTCCTTAAAAAGACTGATGAGATGGATGGTTAATTCGGTAATGTTAATACTTATTGTGGCCCTGAAAAGGGCCATTGGTGGTATTTCTAGCCATTTCTTATTATTATTATTGTCACTTATTTTATTATTATTATTTTTATCATTTTTATTAGCATTATGACTACTACTATGATAATGATTATTATTATTATTATTATTATTCTCATCATTTTTATTGTTATCATTACTATTATTAATAATATTATTACTATTAATATTATTATTATAATTATTAGTATCATCACTATTGCTATTATAAGTATTATTATTATTATTCCTCATCAACTGTTATTGATAAAAAATTGTTTACCGCTACGGGGGAAAGGGATCTTCAAGAATACCTCGTATAAGTATGCCGTTAGGACAAAAATTTGAGAAGGTAGTTGATACATTTTCTAGCCAATGCGGCACCTTGAGCTCTTTAGGGATTTTTTCATTGGCTTGCTGTTGTAGCGATTTTTCTCTGGTAGTACCAATTTAATTGGAAGAACGGCCATGAAACCCCAAATTATTGGAGCAGATTGTGCTCTAGCTAGACTTTTTTCGTATCATGCTGGCAACGGTGGTGTTTTGAACGCCGTTTATTGGTAGCACTTACTAATCTTAGTGGTTCGGAATTGAGCTTGATGTCAGTTGCTTGTGTAATGAAGAAGATTGTTGTCAGTATCCAATATATCCAGCTGCATGACTACCAACTCTATCCTTGATGCACTGCCGGTGATCTATGGTTCTTTTGTAATTGGTTGGTTATATTTTAACTAGACCTACTTACTTCTATTGCATGTACCATACTGAACTAAAGTAAAAAGGTAGCGTATTTTTGCAAAACTTAAAGCTTACAATTTGCATTTGTTATCTATTTTTTCAGAATAAAAACTATACAACAACTATCTAAAAAATGTTAAGAATTAGTATGAAAAACTTTAGCCCGATTAGTTAAGTAGTTTTTGTAGTTAGTGATTACAGTGGTTTGGGCGACTTTGCTTCATATAGCAGTAAGATTACCATGAATACGGTCTATAAGTTAATTGTGCTTAATATAATAATTTTTTGCTCCCTACATTTGTAAAATTTTGCTATACTCTTATCTTTAAATATGAAACCTAGCCTTCGGATTTTTTTTGCAACATAATTAATTTATGGTAAAAATGTTATCTTTCTTCTAAAAATTATAAAAGCATAAATTAACAAGTTAATCAGCTTACTGTAAGAACTACAGAAACTCTTATGATATTATTTGCTGTGATGTGATACTATTTGAAAAAAAGATTACTAATTATCAACTTTACGGCCATTTTCTGCACTAGGTTAGGATCTTTTGGTTACGGAGTATTAGAAGACCTAGACAGAATTTTGTGCAGGTACCCATATTTGTATTTTAACAAAATAAATGCAAACAAGTTTTGTTTATGCTTTTAAACAATTTCAGACATGAGTTTGTAGTGTTTATAATAACAATATTTAACTATGAAAACTACAAAAAAAAGTAATGTCACTTGTTTATCGAGATAACTATTGGTGCACATAAAAGTAAAATAGATTATGTAATAAATAACTGTATCTCATCAAGGTAATTGATCTTTCCTTTATTTGGTTTTATAGTTTCGTAGATTTGATTGTAGTATTTCGGAGTTATTTCTGTACTTATTTATTTATTTATTTTCACCCTTTGAGAGTGGTAAGTGAAAGTGCAGTGGTTTTCAACGCTACCATGCACTTATTTTCTTACTCTCTTACTCACTCATTCGTTTGTTGTTTCAATAGCCTTCCTGGAGGCATGTGTTACACGAAATCAAAGGTATGTCATTGCACGAATTTAATTTAAATTCTTACATCAAATGACACTGTAATATTTTATCTGTCAATTATGATAAATAAAGAAATATTTGAAGATTAAAATAAAAATTAGTTAAAATTTTTCGAAAAAAAAGATTTGTCGTAGTAATTAAGTGAGAAAAAAAAAAAACTAAAAGGAATATTTAAATTTTAAAAAATATCAATTTTAATCACGAAATCGTATATAAATTTCTAAATTTCTTGCGAATCAAACAAAAATTCTTTTTTACTAGAAAAACAAAACAAAATTTAATAGGTTACCAATACTTTTATGTATTTTGTACTATGCTCTTTGTTTTTTTTTTTTTTAATCCATAACGTATTTTCGGTCACATCCCCTTCTTTACTGATCTTGTAGTAGTTGCTTGTATGTTCGCTCACTCGTGCTTGTTGAATTCATTGGTGCTCGTGGGTCATCAGATGTACTCTTACGGCACAAGCCTGTATAGCCTTTTAGTACATGTCTATGTACAGCGTGACGGAAAAAGGGTGATGATCGTAAAAAATTTACACAACTAACTCAAAACTAATTTATAACCATCAGCTTTATTGGCAGTGACGTATCAGTTTCAGTCCATGTGACGTTTAGATTTATATACACCATGGACGGAAGTAAGGAAAGTTCAGATGTCGGGTTTTTATCGATGTAGCTGATACATGTGAGATCTGAAAAATTGTTCAGTTAGCCACCCTAGGTATATTAATAGCTTTACTACACAAGCAAAAACTAACCTCTTATAAAATATTTTCACGTCAAAAATTTAATCTATGCTATTTAACATCAATTTTCACTTTAAAGCTCTTTATACAATTTGATGCTTTGAACCAGTATGATTATTATCAATGTATCAAATGTCATGATTTGAACTCTTATTTTCACAAAAAATAAATTACGAATCCCTATTCTAACACTTTTAAAAACAAAATACAATGGTGTTTATTAAACTAAAGTTTTAAGTGTAAACAAGATAATTAACATAAAGTTATTTACTGTACTTTGTAATAGAATAATACAGATGCAGAATTTTAAAGTTCTCAAACATACTATTAAGTGAAATCTACATTTTTTATGTATACTAGAAGCTATACTCTGTAAATAATTTGCAAAGTACCTTATCTAAGGATACAAATTTTTTCTAAATCCTATAGAAAATCTTCTTACTTTCTCAACAAGATGAAAGATTTTAACGGTCTTAATGTTTTTAAGCAATATTACAAGACATTAGAACTAAAAGAAGAATACAACTCATCTTGTTTTCTTACAGTTGTTATCATCCTCAGATCAACTTTATTGGTGCAATCATGCACCATTTACTGAAGATACAGAACATCTTAATTAGCAACTTATAATTTATTACTTAATCTTTAATGGCATATCCATTAATTTACTTTTTGTTTAATTTTATATCAAAAGTTATTGTAATTTATTACATAAATTACTTATTACATATATCTCTTCGTTGTACTCCATAAAAAAAGCCATTTAGAAAAGTGAAAATTATTTCTTCCTGATATACGAATTATTTTGAACATGTTTTTGATTTTAAACTTTTTGTATATAGATCATTCCCTAAGCTCTTGTGTCAAGATAACGATGGATCTATTTCTCATAATCAGTATACAAGTATAACACATTTTGAACCTATACCACACGATCACGATTTCTGCGAAAGAATTGTTATAAATGTAAGTATAAGAAAATCTTACTTTCTTAACATTTTTTTTTATACATGGAATATTTAAAATTTGCTGTCAGACATCTTTTATTTATCTGTTTATTTCATGTTAAGCTGTAAAACAATTATATTGTTTAATTGTGGAAAATAAATTGGAATTAACAACGGAAAGCTTATGTGTTACTGTACACGTTCTTAATTTTGTTCAAAGAAATCAGGATAAGTAAAAATCAATAGAAAGTAGGAATTAAACGTAACAGCTATTTATCGTAAAGCATGGTTCATTTAATAATTATTTTTCTTACATACCTTTACTAATTGTTGCTTCAAATATATTTAAAAAATGCTGTACCATACTTCTACATAACTGTGTTTATTTTCATTCAATCTCATAAGTAGATTTATTTCTGGCAGTTTAAACAAGATTTTATTGTATGTTTGGAGAGCCTATTAAACTTACAATCTTGATGTGTGTGGTTGCTTGGAATCATCATTGTAATATATGTTAAGTAAGTGGTGTTACTATACAGATATTTTTCTTATTAATAATAAATAATATACAATGTATTTTTTAAAACCTCTTATCTATGCAAGTTATTATAATAAATCAAACACTAGACTCTACCTTTTAAGGTGCAAGAAGTAAGCTACTGCAGTTTAATTATATTATAGCAAAATCTTAATTTTTATGCTTACAATTGATATAGTTCGCTATTGTTTCTTTGCAAAGAGATACTTAAATATCTCTCAGGAGAAGTGTATGGGGTAGGGTATTAATATGTATCCACATTACAATTATTTCAATAGCTCTTGAATTAGATGCACAACAGGCATTAGAAAAAGATTTTTTTTAATATACGCCATTTTTGAGCAGGAACTGTCATAGTTTGGTTTGTAAATTAAAGTTTACCAATGAATAGTCAACACAAAAAGTAGTTGGTTTTTAACAATATAAGTAAAACCAACTTGTATAGTACTTACTAATGTTGCTTAAACCTACTGAATTTTATGTTCACATCTTTGCATTTGCTTTATCTATTTTTTTTAATTTTGGGTGATAGGCATCAATAGCAAACACAGCTGTCCTAATCTACTGCATTATGCTGTTTCATTGCTTGTAGCAGGAACAGTTTTGTAAACAGATTTTTACTAGAATGATAAGAATCTCTGAGATTTGGAAATTATGTCAATGTTCTCTGCCTAATTATTTTGCAAAGAAAAAGTACTAGGGTCAATCAATTTATTCTTCAGAAAATTTCTCCTGAGAACTGACCAATTTTGTACGCAGACTTATGGGACTAATCACTAAAACGATTATAACTCTTAACGTAAATAACGTATCTCTAGACAGAAAAATTGTATTTGTTCCTTTTTTTGTATGAATTATTTTGAAATTGCGAAAACTGTATGTAAACTATTCAGATTTTGAGAAAATTAGGAAAAAGAAATTGATCATCTTCAGCACATGTGCAGATAAGAGTGATGAGTTTTCATTATCTTATTTATCGTAATTCCATAAATTTTTAGGCCAATAAAACTTTTAAATTTGAATATGTTGTTTAGATATTTAAGCATTATGATAATTAATGGAAAATATTTATACAAGTAATAAAATCTTAAAGGCTCTGTCGCTGGGTACAGCCCTAAAAGTTTAAACTAGCTTTAAATCTAATTGAAAGCAGCCGCATAACCTAAGACCATAAAAGCGCTTTAAGTTTGTCAAATGTAAGAGCTTTGAACACATTTTCCTTTAATTGCATAGGCATGGAGCATAATGAGCTGTTGTCACAGGAACGTACGGTAAATAAGCAATAAAACCAGCAAGTTATGCGCGGCTTGCCTGAAGCAATCCACCAAAAACGACTGGATTGGTGGAAGCATAAAAATTTTATTTTGCATAATAATAACGCTTCTGATCAAAAAACATTGCTTCTGTGTACATTTCAGGTCAACAATAATACAGTCATGATGCCTCAGCCACCTCATTCGTTAGACCTAGCTATTTTAGTTTGTTCTGTCTCTAAGAACTACAAAAGTATATGAAAAGATGATACTATGCCATAACTTAGCAAATAAAGATGTCATGGAAGTAGGAACTGAATGACATCACAAAAAAATATACTTTAGAGTGCTTTCAGGATACGAAAAATTTTTATATAAGTGTATAACATCCCACTAGCATCTCTTAAAACAAGACTACATATATGTTCTCAAACAATTAAGCCATAAGAAAAACTATCGTTAAAAAAAAGTAAAACTCATGCAAGTTTGAGTTTATCACTAGCATAGATATTGTATATTCATTTCTATTACGTTAAATATTTTTAAAAAAGGAAATTTTTGTTTCTTAAAAAAAGAGCTTTGTTTACAAAATTTATTTTTATAAGATTGCATGTGTTATTAATTGTAAATCTTATTTTTTCCCACATAATTGTCGAGTTAAAGAAATAACTTGTAGCTTTTATTTAAGTGGATGTCTTTACATATTATTTCTTTAATATATCCGTTTTAAAAAAGTCATTTTTTACGTTAACTTATTACCGTGCATCCAACATCGTCTATTAAATAAATTTGCATCTTATTTGAGGATATTAGGCTTACAATGAAATTATATTTTCTTGCGAAATATGTTACATTATGCTAGCATGGTGTCACTTAAAGTGTTTGGTTCAGGGTAAAGGAAGAGCAAAGTTTTTTGACACTCGTTAAAATTTGTGTTCCTTAGTTAATCTTAACCACATAATACAAGATATGACGTCGCAAGCTGTGATTTCAAATAATGGATTAAAGAATTAACACCAACGTTGATATTGAGAATTACTTTTAACCATGCAGCTATAAAAAAAAATTTACTGAAAAGTATCGCTTTGTTCGGATAGCATTTGTTATTAAAATGTCGTCATCGGTGTCTTTGGCCTCGGATAAATTGATGCTGCAATTCATTTGGTTTGGAAAATCACAGAGAAAACTATTTAAGGAAAATAACAAGTTGGCTAAATTCGTCCATAGGGTAAACTAGTATCAAAAGAATATGTCACTCTTATGTGAAACTCAATTCTGCGAAACACAATGAATCTGGCTCAACTGAAAAAGCTAAAAGCAGTTTTTTAAGTTCTGGAGATAAAGATGGCATTGCAGTAAAAAGATCTTGTTTATCAAGATAAAAAGAGCTGAAAGAAATGCTCAACTGGTTGAAAAATCGCTTCTCAAGTTTGTCACTAACAGGTCTATTTCGGTTAATGATCCTTACTGTAGCTCCTGATTGTTGAAGCTTAGCAAAAGTATCTGGTCCCTTGAAACAAACTGTCTGAAAAGCAATAAAATTGAAAAAGTTATCTGAAATTTAATACACCCCAGCTGCAATTCCAGGGAAAACCTTATTGGATGACATTGTTTATAAAGGGCTTTCGTAAAGATGATGAGAACAGTAGAATGATGCCGAATAAAAAAAATGTGATCGTGGTGATACACAATGATAAACAATAAAAGAAAGCAAAAGCGATTGATGCTGTCTGATATAAAAAGTTTACATAATCAGTTCAAAGCAAAGTTTCTTGATTTCAAAATTGGCTCTTCTAAATTTGTGGAACTGCGACGAAAATGGTGTATTTTAACTGGCTCAAGGGATACTCAAACAGTTTGTGTATATACATTATATTCAAATTTCAAAACCGTATGTAATGCAGTCAATCTCAGAAAGCTTACTGAGCGAACGAAAACCCTCATTAAAAAATATAAAGATTATTTTAGTTATATACTCTGCCCTAATACAACACAACTTTGCTACTAACAAAAATCTACAACTTGCTCTCTAGTTAACGAGACATGGACTCTATGACTTTCTCATGAATGTAAATGAGAAGAAAGCGATATCGCATGTTATGTTTAGTGTATATTGAACGACTTATCGAGGTATTATAGAAAAAGAATGTCTTCGTGCACATGATTTTATCTTTGAGTTTTGCAGCCAAACTTGAAAATCTGCTTTCCCATTATCTTATTTCTAAAAATCAATGAACATGCATAGGAAACATACGATAAGATTTTTTAAAAGGTAAAGTCTTTTTATCTGGGAGATCTGCCTTCGATGTTTAGAATGCCACCCTCGCATTTCACTATAACAACGATCAGTATACAGTACATCCTGTAACATTCTTTTTTAAACGGAGATTCTCTAAGACTCCAGCAGAACTAAAAATCTTGATTCCTCATGCATTTCTATCGACAGCTCAGAAAATATTGAAAGTTTAATCATACTCAGGAATTGCAAGATCAACATGCAAGTTACAATATTAAAAGACGTTTCTGGTAATACGCCATAACATTTTTTTGTTATTACAACCATCACATGTTCAAATTGGAATACGTGTCTTTTTCTAGCAAAGGTGCTTCTTCACTTGTGAAACAATCATGTTTTTTATTAATTAAAATTTCTTATTCCTGTGATAAGTGCCTCTAATATAGTAAGTTAATCGCGTCTCTAATTGGATATTCTTTCTTATCTTCCTGGCAAGCACGCTTCTATGTTTGGAGACCAATCCAAAAAACTAAAATTTAAATACATTTTTATATTCGTTTCTGGTGTAGGTGCCCTTACTATAAGCAGGTGAGCTCTGCCATGAGTGTTACCTCCACGTGGTCAGAAGAGGTAACACTAGTCATGGAAAGTTTTTGGGATACATAATTCGAAGCAATATGATATTATACTTATTATTATTATAAGTTTTCAGAGATTTTTAAGATACTTAGAAGATTGTAATACATTTTTTTTGACATAAGAAAATTTTACAGCTAAGACATGATAAAGATTGAGTTTTACAGTTAGGTACAAAACAGTCGAAGTTTTGGGGTTGCGTGGTGACATGGTCTCGAAATTGTACTGTTATTGTATAGGGGTTACAGAATTACAAAGACATTGTAAGATCATAAAAGTACAATGATACAATGTCAGGTGTTATAAAGCTTATAGATTTGTATGCTTATGGGATTTAGGAGTAGAGGGGCTTTGAG